AAATAAATAAATAAATAAATTAATTAATTAATTAATTAAATTAAATAAAGATCTATCAACAATTTAAAAAAAATTAGAACTCTTGGGGCTGGGGATGTGCTCAGTGGTGAGAATATATGCTTAGCATATACAAGGCTCTGGGTTCCCCATACTGAAAATTATAATAAATAAAAATAGAACCCTCACCCAGTTGTGGTGGTGTGTGCCTGTAGTCTCAGCTACGCAGGAGACGTGGGCACGAGGATCCCTTGATCCCAGGAGTTCAAGGCCAGTCCAGGCAATTTAGTGAGACCCTGTCTCAAACGGGATGTGGACATCACTCAGGGGTAGAGCACTTGCATAGCATGGGTGAGGCACAGGGTTCAATCCCCAGTACAGCCCCAAACTAACTAACTAACTAAATAAATAAAATACAGAGGAAGTCAGACTAGAAAGAGGCCAGATTGCCATCTCTGAGAGTTGAGGAAGCAAAGCAATAAACTCTATAAAACAATCAGCCCCCAATGATCAGAACTTGATTAATAACTGACAGTTTCCCTAATTTGTGTCCTCCCTGGCAATTTAGGAGCCAGCAGAGAAAGCAGAAGACACACCCCTGATAATCACACAGGGACGCCTCCCTCTCTGGTAGCATGCCTGGGTCTTCCAGGCCCACAGCCTCTAATCAGGGCCCACCTGAGGCCTCCCTTTTCCACCAGAAATCCTTCTTACTCCTTGAACCACCTTGGGATCTCTGCCAAAATTCATGTGACTGTGAATTTTGTAGCCAGTGACAGCTTGCTACTGCACGCTCAGAATAAATAGCTTTACTTTTCCTATTTTGTTGGTCAGCATTTATCCACAAGACCCTGGACTGAACAGGCCGGGAGCAGAAGCTCCCCTGGGTGGAGCTCTAGCCCTCAGASGGCAGGGTTGCTGGCTGTTTCACTGGAAACGCTGAGCAGACCTTTGGACTCAGCTGAGCTGGAGCTGCAGAGGCCAACTGACTCAGATAAAGTCCCCCAGGCCTACATCACAAAAGAGTTTTTGTTAGATGCTGATTGGGAGGGAGCGGCTCCAGAGACGTGGGAAGGGGGCAGGCCAGGCCACCGAGGACGGGGGCAGGACCTCTGCCTGGGTCGGGAGCTAGGGGCTGTCCTCAGCCACCTGTGGTCGGTCACCGGATGGAGATCCTCATCGGATCCCCACTAGGCTCCTTTATTCCACGGCTACTGGCTGGGTGCCCAGGGCGTGCCAGGCCCTGTCCAGGTGCTGAGATGTGGCAGGCCAGGAGGCTACTGCGCAGCATGATGCCCAACAGTGAAGATAAACCGGAAATGACTGACCATGGAAGGTATTTTCAGAAGTGGCAGGTGTCCCCAAGGGGGCAAAGTGAAAATAAAAGGAGATATTAGAAAGGGTGCTGGGGGTGGAGAGCAGCATTTTGAAGGTTAGGAATGGCCTCTCAGAGGAATGACATTTGCACTGACATCTKAATGACCCGAGGAGCCAGCAAAGCAACCATCAGGGGAAATAGCCTTTCAGGCACAGGGAACAAATTAAGCAATGACCCTGAGGATTTTGTTTTTGTTTGTTTGTTTGTTTTGGGTACTGGGGATTAAAACTAGTGCTTTTCCACTGAGCCACATCCTCAGCCCTTTTTATTTTCTGAGACAGGGTCTCAGCAAATAGCTTAGGGCCTCGCTAAATTGCTGAGGCTAGCTTGAAATTTGTGATTCTCCTGCATCAGCTTCCCAATCCCATGCCTGGGATCACAGGCCTGGGCCACCCTGCCTGGCTGGAACTGGATTTGACACGATCCATGAAGAGCAGGTAGGACGAAGCAGTGATGGGCGAGGTCAAGCCAGAGGCTCAGGCCTTCTAGGTCACGGGAAGAACTTCAGCTGGGCGTGGTGGTATGCACTGTAGTCCCAGCTGCTTGGGAAGCTGAGGCAGGAGGATCACAAGTTTGAGGCCAGCCTCAGCATCTTAGCAAGAGCCTGTCTCAAAAAATTAAAAGGGCTGGGGACTTAGCTCAGTGGTAGAGCACTCCTGAGTTCAATCCCCAGTAACACAAGGAAACAAATACCAAAACAAAACCCGAAGCATCATTAGGGATGGGGCTGGGAGCGAAGCTCAATGACAGAGCATGTTTTTAACAAGTGAGGCCCTGAGTTTGATCCGCAGCACCACAGATAAACAAACAAAAAGAATTTATGTTTTATTTTATTCTAAATATAATGAAAAGCTATTGAAAAAAGGCGTTAAATAGCTGTCTTCTCACTTTAGCTGTCTTGTCAAGGACTCAAAGGAGGTGCTTGGTTGGAATCTTCTCAAGATCCTGGAGGGTAGGAGACATGGTGGGGAAGAGGGACAGGGTTTAAGGAGATCCAGTGTAGATCAGCCCCAGATGCGGTGAGCCACAACCAGAATTCCTTCCTGAGGAGAATAAATGAGTCATGTGTGAACCCCGGAAGCTGTCAATACTTTCACGTGGCCCTATTTCAGGGAAAGAACCCAGAGAGTTTTTTGTTTTTGTTTTCTCACAAAAATGTGGACTGCATCAAATGTGGACTGTCATCCTTGGGCAGGAGCCATCTAATCTCTGCATCAGAACACAGAGCTTTCATCAGCACCTCCGGGAGACTCTGTGATCCCAGAAAGGCAGGGAAAGGAGAGTACTGACCTGGGTGCTGTGTGCTTGCACAGGCACAGGCCGCCTCAGCCAAGACACAAGGTGTCACCTCAGAGGAGGGGAAGGGAGGGCTGTGGGAGGGAGACTCTCCTTTCCTCCTGTACAGGGTATGCTGGGGATGTATACACACACACACACACACACACACACACACACACATATATATATATATATATATATATTTTTTTTTTTTCATATGGAATTGAACCCAGGGACACTTGACCACTGAGCCACATCCCCAGCCCTTTTTATATTTTATTTAGAGACAGGGCCTCGCTAAGTTGCTGAGGCTGGCTTTAAACTTGCCATCCTCCTGCCTCTGCCTCCTGAGCCACTGGGATTACAGGCATGCGCCACTGTGCCCGGCTTGCTGGACTTATTTTGAAAAACTCTCTTCATTATAAAAGACTGATCCTGGGCAAGAACAAACGGGGAGGGCCTGTGCGGTGGAGCACTGGAGATCCTCCCGTGTCCGTGTCCCAGGTCTCCTGGGTTGCAGACATGCACTACCACACCTGGCTCTTAACTGCTTTTATAAAGGGTCCATTTCCGGTGTGTTGGCTGGCTTTCACTGAAGGCTCACCTTGTTCTGCCTGTTTCCTGTGCCCAGCCTTCCCAGCAGATAGAAATGGAGGTAGGAATGTTCTCTTGAGTGTTTCCAGAATCTTGGCTTGGATTGGCTTTGCCTCACCACAAATAGGCTCTGGCTGGCGTTCAGGACCCACCTGTTCTCAGTCATCCGTCAGTGGGCAGCGACTAGCCCCTCTTGGTGTTCAGATCCCTAGTAATCTGGGGCCACAGCCAGGGAATAGAGTCAGCTGCTGATGACAGGTCCCTGGCAGGCTGCAGAGCAGATGGGGTCCTCCTGGCTCCAGACTCCGAGAATGGACTCGAGGGTGGCTCAAGGTCAATTAAACCAAAGAGGCGCTCTTCTCGGGCGGGCTGTGGAACGATCCAGACTGCTCAACAGCTTCATGCCAAGGCCTGAAGAATGGCTTCCTCTGAGGGGTGAGAGCATAGTTAGCCGTACTTGTATAGACAAACAGTGTTTGAATGTTCAAACTCTTTGAGGGGGACTTACTGTGGGCCAGGCACTGTTCAAGTGAGAACTTTGTGTGTATCATCTCATTGAAACCCCACAGAACACTGACCCAACAGCATGGTCCACACTTCCCTGCACACTTTTGGCCAGGGAGCGGAGCATTGCTGCTCATAAATAAAAACAAAGTGACTCCCCAGAGGTCTCACAGACATCTGCTGATGGATCCATCCACACCCAGGCCCTGGAGAACAAAGGTCCACAGGTGGCTTAGACCACACTGCGCAGACTGAGGAGCCCACACTGCAGGGCCAGGGCTCCTCCCTCTGCGGTCGCTCACTGACCCTGGGGCCTGGGGCAGCTCCGGACTTCCTGGGCTGTTGGCTTTGCAGCATTAGGGGATGGCTTCTGCTCCTTCATGTCCCTGCCTGCTCTGGGGAGCTGTAGGTTCCCCTGGGTCAGAGCACCCGCTCCTTCCTTAGGGTACCTGAAACCCAGCCTGACTTCCCGTCCCTCGCCCTTCCTCAGTCAGGAAAGGAGTTAGAGTCCAGAGACTACGGTTCTGGCCCCATCGTGCCTCATTTCCTCGTGTGGTCAATGGAAGTGAGGCCTACTGGCACACTCCTATTTCATGAAATTTTAAGACTGGCAAATGACGTCATGAATCACAAAAGCCTTTGTGGCTCAGTGGTGGAGTGCTTGCCCAGCATGTGCAAGGCCCTGGATTCCCCCGCCCCGGCACCACAGCACAAAAGTCCTTGAAGACTGAGGTACTGGCCAGGGGTGGTGGCGCATGCCCGTAATCCCTAAATGCAGCTCGGGAGGCTGAGGCAGGAGGATCATGAATTCAAAACTAGCCTCAGCAACTTAGTGAGGCCCTAAGCAATTTAGCAACACCCGTCTCTACATAAAATATTTTTTAAAAAGGACTGTGGATGTGGCTCAGTGGTTAAATGTCCCTGGGTTCAGTCCATGGTACAAAAACAAAAAACAAAAAACTGAGATGATGTACTTGAGCTGGGGAGAGAAAAGAGAAAATAATGAGTTTCAAAATGCCTGAGGCAGCTCCTGGGAGGCTGAGACAGGGAGATCTCAGCCACACGGGCCAAGTCAAAGCACCTGGGGATGCTCAAACACTTGGCCAGTTTGGGAGCMTGGATGTGAAAAGAGTCAAGTTGAAGAGAAGGCAGAGGGGGAAACCCGGAGAGCCAGGTGGTTGTCTTGGCCTGGGCAGGTCCCAGTTCCCATCTCCAGAAGAGCAACTTCTGGTAACTGAAATTCTATGAGGGGGCCAGGGTCACCCAGTCAGTGTGCCTGGCCACACGTGGGACCTGTAGACAGTCGAGCCTGTGCCTGTGGTGAGAGGGGTGAGTGTGGGCCACCTCCTGTCTCAACCTGCATCTCGGCAGCAAGCCGGCCCTAAGTTCTGGTCTCAGGTGCTTGGTGTCTACTTCACCTTTCCTTCTGTTCCTGCTCCTGCCTTCAGCTACTCCAGGAACTTTCTCATTCCTTAAATTAGACACTTTCTTCTCAGTTTGTGCCCCTGGTTCACTTGGGACAATGGCCTAGAGGACATTCCTAAGCATTTTTCTCAAGTCTCCTCCTTGTGCATGAATTCCATAAGAAGTGACTAAAATCTTATCACTGTGTGTGTGTGTGTGTGTGTGTGTGTGTGTGTGTGTGGCACCAGCATAACAAACACAAAGCCATGCCCCCAGCACTTTTTAGTCTGAGATAGGGTCTTGCTAAGTTGCTGAGGCTGTCCGTGAACTGGCAATCCTCCTGCCTCAGCCTCCTGAGCAGCTGGGATCATAGGCCTGTGCCACCGTACTTGGCCTCTGATCTCAAATGTCAGATCCTGCCCAGGAAACCCAGACATGGGAGGCAAGGACGTGGCTCTGAAGAAGTTGTAATCCAATTGTTGAAGTGGTGAGGACATGGATGCAGCCTCCCCACCGTCGCACCCACCGTGGTATGGGCGCTGAATACAGCTGGACGGAAGAAGTCACGCCAGGGCCAGTCATCGGCTTCCTGGAAGAGGTGGCATTCGAGCCACTTGAAGAATGAGTAGGATGTGAGGTTAGAAAGGACAGAAGGCGTCCCATGGGTGTCACGGGTAAAGTGTTAAGCTTTTGCATTGATCCATGTCATTCACACAGGAGGAGAGGAGAGCTGAGTCAGGTGGAAGGGGACCCGGGAGTATGTGAAGAAGAAGCCTGTTGGCTTAAAAGACCCGGACTTCACGCCTATATGAAGGTCTGAAGCTGACCCTGTTTGCCCCGGAAGCCAAGGTGAGTTACGGTGCATCCTGGGTCTCCATTTGTTGACCTGTCAAGTGAAGGGCCTGGGTTGGAACGGTGGCACGTGCCTGTAATCCCAGTGGCTCGGGATTACAAATAAATAGAGACTGGGCAAGAGGATATTTAAAGTTCTTCACTATTCTAGAATGAGGCTGGAAAGGAGTGAAAATGACTTTAAGATTTCAGAGAACATCTCTAGCCACAGGGAATKCGAAGCCTGGGGAGGGAGAAGGTTTGGGGAGCAGACCCCTTCACGCCCCTCCTTCCATCGGCTCTGGTCCTCAAGGTCGTAGGTTGATACATTCTGAGTCTAACAGGGGCACTTGCTGCTTCTCTCTCGCCTGAGACTGTGACCCCGGCTGTATCATGGCCAAAGTAACCCGCCTTTGCACCTGGAGAGTCCCTGGACATCCCCCTGGAGGAGCCACCTCCACCTGCACCAACGTGACCTCAATAGGATGGCACTAGGGAGTCACAGAGGAGGGTAGGAATCCCACAAGTCCATAGTGATTCTTTTTTTTCTTTTCTTTCTTTCTTCCTTTTTTTTTTTTTTTTTTTTTTTGTGTGTGTGTGGTGCTGGGGATTGAACCCAGGGCCTCATGCCTGTGAGGGCCAGCACTTTGCCAACTGAGCTAAATCCCCAGCCCCCTAAGTGATTCTTGAAATGGAAATTACTGAGGAATTGAAACGTACTTGTTCCTAGGAGCCTATATTTGAGACCCCAATTAGTACCTGGCTCATCATCCCTGAGAGGAGGGGGTGTCACTCAGGTGTGCCGAAGAGGCCCCAGGGAGCTCAGGAACAAGGCCACCCAAGGGGAGGACCAGGCCCCTCACTTCACAACCTCCACAGACACTTGTCAGTCACACCAAGGTGAGAGATTCCCTGGGGTGGACCAGGCTGCCACCGGGGAGAGAGAAGGGCTCAGGCAGTCCCAGGAAGGGCAGCTCCCTCAGGAACAGAGTCAGGGAACAGTCTCTCSGCAGGGGCTGGTGGGCCCAGCCCTGGCTGCTGTCTGGGGCCTGAAACTGGAAAGCCAGGCTGCGGCCAGAGGGCAAAGGCTTGGCGAGCTGAGAGAAGAGCCGGATCAGACCCAGAGCTGCAAGGACCGGGAAGGCCTCAAGCAGAGGAGGGAGGTCTCCCCCCGCTCTTCATCCCCCTCTCCATCCAGGGGATGAGCCTGGGCCTGTGGTCGGAGGCCAAGCGCTTTCCCTCGGGCCTCAACTTGGGCTCGGTCGCAGCGGGCCCTGACTCGGGTTTCTGACTTCAAGGCCTTGGTATGTATGAAAGCCTGGCCTCTCCTTCGGCTGGCCTGCCGCCTCTGGCCACCTTTATTCCTACCCTTTTATGTCTGCCTTTCTTAGGTCCTCAGCACATTTTGCCAAGATTAATTTGACACCAAACTGGCATTCTCTGAAGTAAGGAAACTTCTAGGCACCAGAAAAGATCCATGTGGGGAAGATCACCATGGCCTCCTTGGGGCAGACCTGGGGCTAGAAGCCCAGGACCCAGGGCCGCCCAGCGGAGGAAGGAGCTCTGTCTTGAGGCTCAGCTGGTGGAAATAACTTGCTCAGGTTTTTTCCTGCCTGCTCCCTCTGCTCTACTCCCTGACTMTGAAAGAAGGTCTCCTCCCCCAAAACTAGGGACAGGGCCCTGTCACTTCCAGAGCTGACTTCTCTGTGTACCTCTGCTGTGCCTGGAAACTTGACACCTAGAATGAGTGGACAGGTTGGAAGCTGGGCCCTTCTCGTGTGGTCTATTCTATGCTCTAAGAGCTCTTGAGGGCAAAGGAGTTGGTCTCTGTCACCTTCCTGACTGAAGACAAAACGCCCTATTTTCTGCCCTTAACTCCATATCTGCAATTGATCTGGGAACTGGGCACAATAAGTGCAATTCCAGATTTAGGAATGAAACAATAAGTTACTCTATTCTCTCAAAATGCTTCGAGCCCACAGGCCTGGCCCCTCAACTCTTCCTTCTGTCCCCAATGGGCAGTGCACACCCACCTCTCAGCCCAGAGCATCTTCCCTCAGCCTCTGCTAAGCCTCAGGATCCTGCCRTGTTGAGGCAATATCACGGAACTCAGGCCTGGTGGCACATCTGTTGCCAGATTTCTTAGCAAAGAAGACAGGTTCTGTCCAGATAGTGATATAATCTCCCTTGACCCCTCAGCACAGGGCTGGCCCGTTATCATCAACCCACTATGAAAATACATGTACGGGCTGGGTTGTGGCTCCATGGTACAGACTTGCCTAGCATGTGTGAGGCACTAGGTTCGATTCTCAGCACCACATGTAAATAAATAAAAATAAAGATCCATCAACAACTAAAAAGTATATTTAAAACACACATACACACACACACACACACACACGTATGTACTCTGTGTCATGGGCAAATCCTGACCTAAGTTCTGATGGAATCTGAAAGCATCCTCAGCAAAGAGCTCTGGGCATCATGATGATCAGCTTTTAGTCTTCACTTAATGCAATCTTTTCCATTCCCCCCTCCCCCCGCCTTTTTTTTTTTTTTTTTTTTTTTTTTTGTGGTGTGGTGCTGGGGATTGAACCCAGGGCCTTGTGCATGTGAGGAAGCACTCTACCAACTGAGCTATGTCCCAGCCCTCCACCCCTCTCTTTTAATTTGCAGAATTGAAAATTGA